AACTAGTCTTACAAGTTAGTCATTTGATTTTTTAACTAGTCGTAACTTCGTCAGTTCAAAAAAAAAAAACAGATGGGTCTAATATGAATCTGAAAAGTAAGACAGATTATCCCTTGACTAACTGCTAGTTAGTCAAACTAGTACTTAATGGATGTGGATGTGTTTATGCTCCCTGGCCACCCTGTCTTTTGAGAGAATACACACATAATCCCTTACGTACATTATTTTGTATCTTTTTTCTTTTTTTACATTTTGTGGTGAAACATGACGTTCTTGACAGGTTTTGTGAGATTCACCCAACGTGATAAAATGTTTAGATGCGGTCACGTTTGTTGTTGTTCTTCATCTGGACGCACCACCTGATGGCCTTTGTGTCCAACAAGGCTACACTCGTCACATATGCATGGTTTGTCCTCACAGCAGTACATTGCATTGAGGACATTCATATGAGCCCTTCGTCGCTGTCTGATCCCAGTGCTTCTGGATACAGAGCAGGCAGTAACTGTGTCCACAGGGAAGGGTAGCAGGGTCCTTAAGGACGTCCAAGCATACGGGACAAGCAAACGCCTCTGGAGCCCAGGCAGTCGTAGCCATGATGTTGAAGACAGGTAGATGAACAATCCAGGCTTTCTGCAAAAGCACCAGCGACGGCTTTTCACATTTCATTTAAAACCATTTTTGATGCCTGTAAGTATTGAAAAGGGTGTTTTTAAAAAAACAAAACAAAAAAAAAACATAATATTCTATTAGCATGGCAGATATGATATGACGTATCCTTTAGGAACCTCCTTTCCACATCCAACACGAAACTATGTATGCATACTGATGTTTGTGGTGTTTATAAGAGGGATGCTGGTCTCTAGACCTATAATAACTTCACAGCATGCTACAAAGATTTGTGTTTAGTCATTTTGTTGACATGTTCATGTTTTGCATCAGTAGTTGGTCAGATGATAAGAAAAAAAAATGCTGCAGAAAGACCAATGCATGAAAATCCTCTCATCATTTACTCACCCTCATGCTGTCCCAGATGACTCTCTTTCTTCAGATAAACACAAATGAAGATTGTTTATGAATTATTTCCATCTCTGTGAGTCTAATGCTAGTATAATGGACCTTTATAGGTGACGCTTCAAAAACCACACAACATGACAGTAATTGAAACAATGTTCAAACAAAACGATAGGTGTGTGTGTAAGACAAACAGTTAAACACGTTCTTTACACTAACAATCACTTCTAGTGATATGTCATACAACTGAAATGAACCTGTTTCTGTAAACTTGCCTAAGGTTTGTTACATAACATGCTTTCTGGAGAAGAAAAAAAAAGCAGACACAATTATTCCTGACAAGAGATGTCAACAATAGTCTGCAAACATCCTTAATCAATATCCCTTCCCTTAATAATAATAATAATAATAATATGATTAGTGACAGGTTAACTTTCTATAGCAATACCAATGTCCTTGGCCTTCTAAATAAGTTAATTAAATATTGATTATAATTTTTTT